CCTTTCATTTAAACGGGGGCTTGCAGAACTGGCTGAAATATTTCTCCCAGATTCAGACCCACACAGAAGGACCATTGTCTTCCGCCCAGTGCCTCGGTATGATGTCACAACCTGGTCTCTGAGTAAGAAGCTTTGATTTATAGCCAGGGCTGCTGCCAACGCGCGGTTCTCAGAACTTCGTATTAAAGTAGACGACATAATGACATGAGTCCAGAGTCTAAGAAGGCATCATCGAACCATTGAAAACCAATTAGCACACATTAAGTTGCTTATCAGACTAATTTAGAACTGTAAGCTCTGTCATATTTTAATATTCAAAATCGAGGACAATTTAAAATTGTCAGCCGACCTAATGCATTGTGAAGTAGCAAGCGTTTAAAAATTCACCATACGAACTGAACTTGCATTCATTTTTTCCTTTTTATGGCAAGGGCCTGATCCTTCAGCAGAGTAGGGTCTCTCAAATGAGTAACACTACTTTTGAGTCTGAGTGTATGTAAAAACCGCATCATCTTCTCTGTTTACAATTTCACAAATTCTGGCTTCATTGCTGCAATTTATTATTGGCAAATCTCAGTGTATGGCAAATTCAGTCACAATTTTTCATTCTAGCCAGCTGAGAGTCTGAAAGACTGGGTGTTATCTCAGCACCATGGAGCAGCTTTGAGACAGAATGCTTGTTGCCATTTGATACAACTCTGCTGAATTTAAGAAATAGTCCGGTTTCTGCTAAAAGTGCTTGCAGATTCTGAACAGCTGTAGGGCTTTCCAGTTAATTGCCAGTCCAGGCCTGCTGTGTGACTAGGAGTGTCTCTTTCAGCTGACAGGTTTTTACCAAGTCATTTAAGATTTGAAATATTTGAGCTAGAAGTTAGTCAGGCTAATACTGTTTTCTGTTAAAAATTAATCCTGAGAAAATTAACTGTACTCTCTGTATCACGTCACATCTCCCTGTGTGAAGTATTCACTTGTGCAAGTAAGTGATGGTGGAAAAGGATATGTGTTATGGCAGCTAGCTTACCATGCCTCCACAGGGATGTATTTGAGAATGAAACTCCTTTTTCTAGCTCGAGTCTGTAAAGATTTGCAGTTAATCAAGCATGAGTCAATAGGTAAGCGGTAAAGCTAGTCCACGGCTAGCCGGTGATCAGCCCTGGCTGCTCTGGAGGAACCCACTGGGTTCCTGCCTAGGAGAAAATGGTGAAGGTGGGCACGTAAGGTTTATGTCCTCAGCTGCTCTAAGTCAGCTGCAGCTGCTTGCCCCAGCTGAGGGTCTCAGTCCCCCAAAAGTCAGTGAGACAGTGGGTAGGGTGTGTTAGGAACTGGTAGCCTTATTACATGCAAGTATTTTAACTTGTTTGAGTAACACCACAGACACCGTGATGGTAAGCAGGTAGCCAGTGAGTACAGGTACAGGCTGTTCCTGCATTGGTTTTGGAAGGTGTGCCTTGAAATACCCACAGCTCCTGCCTTGGGCCCTCTGCAGTCCTTTGCAAAGTGGAAGTAAATGGTTGCCCTTTTAAAGAAAGAATATAAAGTGATTTACACCAACTTTTGACACATTCAGAGTATTTTCAGAACGACCAGGAGGTCAGACCCACAGCTCATTTGAGTTGAGTTTGGAAATGCAAACGTTGGCAAAGATTTTTGGCCTTTGTCACTCCATTTGGTGAAGTTGTGTAGGCTGGAGAGAAGCAGATACAGGATAGAATGTCATAAATAAACTGTTACTGGTGTAATGTAGCAATTTGTGGTATATCTGTCCTCCATGAGTCAAGTAATATAGTTATTCATGTAAAACGCAAAAGTTGAGGTCTAGCCAGAAAGGGTTAACGTCTTACATTTCTGCTGACATGGTCAGCTTTGCAGGTCTGATTCCAGATCATCTGGGTCATTAGTAACGGTCTCTCCAGGACCAAAAAAAAAAAAAAAAAAATCCTATAGAGCTTCCTTCTCCAAACTGGTACCCTGTGAAGACATTTACACTTTTTTAAAGGGGAGTGAGTGGCTGCCATCCCAGCTTGGTAAGATCCATACGTTCACTCTGCACAGTGTTAAATGGCTATAGAAATGGCAAAGCACTGACTATATTTGTCAGATACAAATCCCTTCACCATTTCAGCATTAATAGTTTCTCTGTCTTTCAGTGTGATACCTATTCTAGTGATGAGATTAGCATACAAACAAAATATATGGTACTTAGCAAGGGGAGACTTTTTTACTGTGTTGAAAAAACACATTAAAAAAGGTAATGGAGACAATTCAGTTGAACAAGTTCAGACACCTCTAAGCCTAAGTGCAGGTAGTATCTGTCCATTTAAAGACAATTTGTTTCCCATTACATGAAATAACTGATGCTCAGGAGTGTCAGTTCAGAGCAATACAAGGGGACAATGTAAACATGTCAAATAAAATGGAGGTCCCACTTAATCTCATATCCCTCCTTCTTGTTTCCCTCTCTGGCTAACAACCTGCCATCAGCAAACAAGCTACTGTGACTTACCCTGACAGGTCCTGTAATTAACACCAGTCTCTATTTTCCCTCTGAACTCTGAATTTATGGACAGACAGGAGTGTCCATGGTTGCTGTCACCGTCTCCAAGAGAGTTTTTGGACTAACAAGTCTGGAGTAGAGTCCCTTCCACGCATCAGTCTGCCCAGTGCAGAGTAGGACTTACTGGTTATCCTCTGTTGGTTGCAGCAGGTGTATTTCAGTGTAGCAACATATGAAAACAGATTCCCAATGTTCATGGCCACTAACCAGACCTCCAAATAGACCCCATGGCATTGCTTTTATAAAGAAAAAATTCGAAGTGAAGTGACAAAAAAAGTGCCTGGTAAACCAAGTAGCAAAGATGTTCTGTAGAAGAGCTACAATGAAAAATCAGCCTGAGATCAGGAACCTGCCTTCTTTAAAGCCTCCAGCCTGCCTGCCACCAGGGCGATAACCCTTCCCTAGGTTATAACAAGTCAGACAACTCCAGGGTTTATTGGAGTTGAATTGCCAGTGGTTGCACTTGGAATTATTTAGCACAGGTGTTTCTATAACAGTGATATATTGGGAAAATTCAGTGTTCAACAACCATCATATTTCCAGCTGTGCTGTGGTTAGTGCTAGTACAGTGAACCTAATATAAAACATGTGAGAATATTTGCTAGCTCAGGAACTTGTTAAAGGTATTTTCTTACAATATCTGAGCTGCTATGTTTATCTAGGTGTGTTTCTTTGGTCTTGCATTTTCATAAAGGGTGTGATATTGGTTTTATAAAGCTGTCACTGAACCTGGAATCTGCTTCTCTGCAACCAAGTGCATTAGTAGCCCTGCTAGCCAGTGCGCAGCACATGAGCAGGTGAAAGTAAGATTATGAGGAATCCAGTGACAGTCCATTATCCATAGCATATTCGTCTTGAGAGCACCTGTGCATCTGTTACATATATAGACATGTTTTTACTAGGGGTGCTAGAAATCTTGAAACAAGTGTTGCAAGTATCTATATGTAAAAGAACATAAAAGGGGCAAAGTTAACAAGAAGCTAGGGGACTATAAAACAAGGGTAGTGAAGTGCATTCACCAAAAGCAAAATTTGTGAGTGTTAAAAGAGGTTTTATCTGCACACACGTGCATTTTTAGGGGTTCAAAAGACTCATACATGAACATAGGAGATGGCTGGAGAATGTATAAGGGTGTTTGTAAAACACATGCAAATAAAAATACAGTCAGAGACACTCAGGCAACACGCATGTGCTCTGAGCTGAGTTGTGCAAAGATGTTTCATTAATAACTTTGTGCCACAATGGGTCGGTTATTCTAATATTCTGAAAGATATTCTCTTGTGTCACCATAAATTTCCAACAGCACCTTCAAGCAATGGCTGTTCCTGTGGATCTCTTTTTGGGAAAGAAGATAAATGCCACTGTGCGTCCGTGCTCGATTGTTGTATGCATTAGAGTTGCATCTGGCTAGTGAAATACATCTACGGACTAGCTTGGCCCTATTATTTATAATTTTCCTGATAGAGAAAGTGGGTGTCTTTTACCTATGCACTGCATATGTTGTAGGAGAAGCAGCAAAGGCATCTCTCTCTGATTTGAGAGAGAAAGCCGATGTGAAAAAGACACTTTGATTTGAGGAGGGATCTCTTCTCTGATTTGAGAAACAGCTCTACATTTGTCATGACTGAGTTGATGCTCATAAACAGTCATTCTGTCCATGTGCTGGTGGTATTTAGAGACATGGCTGGACAGCTCAATTAGAGCCTCTTTTGAGAAAATGGGTAGAGCACGCAGAGGTCTAGAATAGGAGTCAGTTTTTCTTGGTAGCCAGAGACTGAGTTAACATTTGTTAGGAGCTGGCATTAGCCGTTTGGATCCAACTTAGAATCACTGAGAGTTGGATGCAACTTACTGAATATTTTACACCCATTGGCTGGTTAGTAAGATTAAACACCATCATGTAAAAACGAAATAAATGAAATCCTACTCTTTCAAAAATACCCTCATAATTGAAAACTTCTTGTACATAGTAGTTTGTCATGTATCTTTGCAATTTTACTTTCACTGAACTCTGAAAGCCCCATCTCTACCTTATTATGTTCCAGTTTACCGAATGTGCAGACATTTATCAAATGGGCCATCAGTAGCCGTAGAAATGCAGTAGTATATCCAAGTTAAAATTCTTGCTTTGATTACTACAAATCCATGGAGCCCTTGGGTCCAAAGCTTCCACTGAAGCACAGCTATTTGCAAATAGATTTTTATAGCACATTAGTGCTGGAGGAGAGTCCAAAGAAAATAGTCCTTTTCAATATTAGAACCAGCTGTGACTTTCTTGTGCTGATGACTCATTCATTTTTTTTTATAGGGTGGGAGAACTAGGCAAAAGACACACAGAGTCTTATTCAAGACGTTGTTTGTTTTGCAAAGGGTATCCTAGCCACAAGCCAACTTGATCATACCAATACGCAACTCATGTTTATTTAAAACTTTTTTCTTTTAACAGTTCCAATTATAAAAACAGAACCCACAGATGACTATGAGCCTGCTCAAACCTGTGGACCAATGAACCAAGGCTTAAGCCCTCTCTCTAAACCATACTACAGCCAGCAGATCATGATGCCCCCTGATCCTGGTTCGTGCCTCGTGGCTGGCTTTGCCTCCTGTCAGCAGAGAAATGCCGTGATGTCACCTTCTCCCAACGCAAGCCCCAAGCTGCACGACCTTTCGTCCTCTCCTTACAAGTGCATCCCCAACCCGGGCCACAGTCACCTCGGACTTCAGCAGCCCGCTGGAGGTGTCCCCACCATACAGGAAGTGCCAAGGTCTATAGTTGTGCACCCAAGCTCCCCCGAGCAATCATCTCACATCATGCTGCAGCCGCAGGTGAGTCAACATCTGAGCAGTAGCTGTCCCCTTGGTTATCAACAAACACTCTATCCCAACAGTCCCTCTTCTCCAGTTCCATCTGTTACCCAAGAGCCAACCTATTTGCAGTCCTGCAGTCCAACTCACTCATCCATAATGGGTCAACAGCAGCAGCAACTGCCGAAGGTTCACAGAAATGAGTCTCCAACAACCCAACCACTGTCATTGCCAGAGTTGCATGAGGAAAGTAATCATAATTTGGCCCCTATTCCTGTAACGATCAAGCGAGAACCTGAGGAATTGGACCAGATGTACCTGGATGATGGTAAGTCTTCCGCAGCATAGGTTTGCGTTCAACCATGTTGCTATATCAGTGAGTTCCCTTAACCCCTTCCTCCTTTTGAATCCTGGTGGAAAAAAGTTCAATTAACAGCCTGGTGGAATGGTGCGGACTTTTGCTTGGATTGTCTCTATATGGGAAAGGGCTCTTTAATTTCGTTTGCGATAATGAAACCGTATTATCTAAGCATTAAATGCTGTTAGTTACTGTAGAGCCAGCTGCATGACCGATAGCTATGTTGCAATAATCTTAACTGTATGGTCTTGGCTTATGCCCATGCCAGTGACCTGTGGAACCGCAGTGAAAACATATTTAACATTGTCCCATCCATAATGCAGTGAAACGTCTGATGTGCAAATCTGTTCACTGGAACTAAATGATAAACTGCTCTACTTCAGTTGAGAAGGTTCAAATTAAAAATGGAGGCACATCTTTCAGTGTAACTCTTCAGTCTGGTGGCATCTGACATTAAGACTACTTTTTCTTCCATTCTTATTGTGGACTTGTTGCGGCCTTTTTTTTTTTTTTTGCTTTTGTAAGATTTTTTTTGTTTATGTATTTTT